CCTCTTTTCTCCCTACCTGCCTGCCTCCCTCCATCCATTCCTCCATCCCCCCCCCCCCCTTCTTCCCTCCCTCCTCCCTAGGTCTTCCCTTCAACATCTTCCCTACACCCCCTTCCCTTGAACATCCCCCTTCCCTTCTACCTCCCTGTTCCCTTTGATGTAAAATAATGTAAAATTGATTTTATGTAGCTAATAAATACACATCTATCTTACCTGTTCAGATTGGAATGTCAGAAGGAATTCTAAGGGGTAGGTTATCAGCTTAAGTCTCTGAAACAGCTGAAATAACTTAGGAGAAATCCTGCCAAGGTATGGGAATCATGGTAAGTATGGTATGGCATGTATGGTATGGTATGTAAGGTATGGTATGGTATGACAGGTATGGTATGTATGGTATGGTATGACAGGTATGGTATGTATGGTATGGTGTGGTATGACAGGTATGGTATGTATGCTATGGTATGCTATGGTATGAACATGCTATGGTATGACAGGTATGGTATGACAGGTTTGGTATGACTATGGGATGTAATAATATTATACCATGGACTATGCTATTAGTGTTGCCATGTTTTTTTAGCTGATTCTTTTCCATTTTGCTTGTATAGAGTACAATTATTATTCAATTTTTTGTTCTTAAAATCTCCAGATAGATAGGGAGTAGATCTAAATCCTTAGAAAAAGAACATAAAAAAGCATTAAGTTCTCATTGAGTTATTGAGGTTCAGCCAGTGGCCAAGTCACAACTCAAATAGCCAACTTTTTTTTCATAGCTGGTCAATGAGATCTCAGTATTCCCCAAATTATAGATCTACTTCTCATCTGCCTAGTGATTCCAAGAATGTAAAGTCTGAGTGAAAATTGCACTCTGTATAAACAAAAGAAAAAAGGCCAATATAAAAATGTTGCTTTTGAAGTGAGTTATATGTGGTGTGGTACTTGGTGTAGTTGAAATACACAAAATGTCTTGTCTTCTTTGCTTCTCAAAGACCACATCATCACAGTTTATTTATTGTACTAATTGAAAGAAATGGGAAGGATATATAATGTTAAATGGTTTTTCATGCATGACAAAATCTGAGATATAGCTCAATAGAACTGATTTTTGAAGATTGGAGTTACTATCTAACCTCCACTTGTAGCTTATAATCTCAACAACAACCAGGGGAACCCTTCCACAAAAAATGGCACCCAATGGACCAGTATTGCAGCCTGCAGAAATAATTTATATATTTTGAAAAAGGACCCCAGACACCCTTTGTCAGCTTTGGTATGATGGTATGGTATGGTATGAGATCATTTGGTATGGTATGACATGACATGGTATGGTATGGTAACATGGTATTGGTATGAGTGGGATATGGTATGGGTTTTCCATTCCATGGTACCATGGTATTGGTATTGAGCTCATATACCACCCTGGAATGGGTACCCTCAAGGTACTCTAAATCAAGGAATTGATGTACCTCATAGGTACCCTAAAATGGGTGACTGAAGTGCATTTTGGTCACTTTTGGCCTGTTTTAGACAAAACAAGCCATTTTCCAAAGCCTCTACAGACATAACCACTCAGTATTTTTGCCTGATTCTTTGATAGGCTCATTCAGGTTGACCAGAGGTATGTTCTGGCTACCTCCCCAGTTAGCGCATTTTTTTTTTTCAGATGCCAAAAATGGCCTCTACCAAGGGAAGTGTAACACAACTACATAATGTAAAAGAATACACAGTACAGTAGATTCTTAGAAAGAACCAGAAAAATGAACCAACCTTCATTCTTTTTGCACTCAACTGTATTTGTGAAATTAAGCTGATAACTGAGCCAAATAGTTCTATCATCAGCTGTTTACCATTGATACTCAGGTCGAGCATCTGGATAAAAAGTCTTTTGATATGATAGGTAAATGGCTTCAACGCAAATGGTTGTCTTGCATGGAAAGAAAATTTGAGGCTGAATTGATTCTCAATGAACTGGGGTTGGAAATTTCTTTGCTTGAAAATGAATGGAACTGGCAAGTGGCAGCACAGACCAAGCCCTTGGCACGACAATCAAAGAATATTGCAAATGTTGTAATTAAGGAAATTTTCTAACAGTACTGTTCTTTATTACAGAGGAAGAAGACATTGAGCATCAGTTGGTTATCAGAAAGTCAAGACATCTGAGTTTGTGTGCACAGTGGAGGGAACAGGTGTCTCTGATTCCTGGCACATATCCAATGTTGAAAGGATGGGGACCTGATGTCAATGATTTGGAGACTGCATTGAAGGATTCATCACAAGAAAATGTTGATGAAGAGGAAAGTGATGATAAACAGTTGAATTGCACATATAATGTTGAAGAAGCAGACAACAACGATGTTATTGAAGGGACAGAATCCATGGCAGTGTCAGATGCATTCAGTGTATCAGATAATGGGCTGGCCTTTGGGAGATGGGAGAGTGAGGATTTGTGGGAGGATCTGGAAGATGATGAAGAAGATAACTTGGATGTTGGAACATCTCATAAGAGGTCAAGGCAGAAGTATTATGGGTAGGTTTGGTGGGAAAAAAGTTGGAATGAAATTGTCATGAGATGATACAATTTGAAGCTTGGTAAGGTTTGGAGATATCAATAACAATCAGTGAGCTGCCTGGTAGGAAATGATAAGTACAGTTAGTAGTTAGTTCATAGAACTGTAAAATGGTACAATTATGTAGTGTTTGGAAGTCCGGTCTCGTGACTGGAAAAAGACCGTAACCAGACCGGACCAAGACCGCAAAAGACCGGACCTGCGGTTACGGTCTTTTATTTTTGAAATGTAAAGACCGCAAAAAAACCGGTTAACGTGAGCCGGTCTTGACCGGTTTGGACCGGTCTTTTGTAGCCCCTTAAATACCCTTTAAAACGCACCCAAGAACGTACGATTTGGTAAAAAAACGAGAGAGATATGAATTAAAATGTAAATTACTTTTGGGAATAATAAATGTACCAGACTTATTTTATAGAAGCACCAATTCCTAATGGAATTTAACGTTCTTGGGCTCGTTTTGAAGCTATTAGAGATGTTAATAAATTTACCGATTCATAATTTTAAAATATTGGCCTAAAGACCGGTCATAAACCGGTTAAAACCGATGCAGACCGAAACCGGTCTATAGACCGCAAAAAACCGCGGTCTGCGGTCTTTTTGCGGTCCAGTCTGGTCTTTTGACTTCTGGGGAAAAGGCAGACCGGTTACGGTTACGGTTAACGCCCCTGGGCATCAAAAAACCGGACCGAACTGGACTTTCAAACACTACAATTATGAATGGATATACTAGTTGACAGAAAGGTTTAAGTTAGAGATTGCAATGGTATGAGAGTGCAATACCATAGTATAATATTTTGATAATGAAGACTCTCAGGACACAAGACTTGATCCCATTTCCAATTAACAAGACTTTGGGATTGGATAGATTCACTCAGCTTTGATAAAATTGGACCAAATATTATGACAGAAGGCCAAACATTCAGGACAACAATACTTCATTCCATGATTGCAGTTTTTAAGAAAATTGAGATTGCATGATGGTGTTGTTGGCAAGACTATATGTGTATTCTAATGGATAGGACTGGGAGATATATGTATCATCTAACAGCTTTGATGCATGGGAAAGCTAGGATAATCCCCATTTGAACTGACTGGCTTGGACTATCTGGCCTCAATTTGTAGCCTAATATCTCAGGAAAAACCTGGAGAACCACCCCACAAAATATGGCACCCAATGGACCACTATTGCAGCCCACAGAAATAATTTATATATTTTGAAAAAAGGACCCCAGACACCCTGTGACAGCTTTGGTATGATGGTATGAAGTGACATCATACCATATGGTATGGTAACATGATATTGGCATGAGTGGGATATGGTATGGGTTTTCCATTCCATGGTACCATGGTATTGGTATGGTCCCCACATACCACCCTGGAATGGGTACCATTGAGGTACCCTTAAATCAAAGAATTCATATACCTCATAGGTACCCTAAAATGGGTGACTGAAGTGGAATAACAAGGGTAGCAGCCAGAGGAGCAGGAGTAGACATGGTGAAAGATGCTTGAGTAGACAAAGTGGGTTGAAAAATCTGTTCTGAATTTTCTACTACTTTTTCTCCATCTTTTATAGCACTTCAACCTTCTGTTGATGTGTTTGGACTCAGATCAGATCAGATCAGATAACGAAATGATGAGGAATGGAACCCCTATTCATCAAAGTTCTTGGGTGAAGGGAACCAGACTTCTGTGATTTATAAATAGATTTCGCCATCACTAATGACAAGCTCCATACACTTGGGAACACAACTGAGGACAGTTGATTTTAAAAGTAAGGGGGGGTATATTAAAAGCACAAAATATACCTTCTGAGATCAAGATATGACATTTTGTGATTTTATATCCATGAAATGAACTTAAAAATTGATTTCAACTGATCCTAAGTCAAAAAGTTGACAAGCTAGCTCTTAAATCACACAGAGAGAACAAGAAGATTAAGTTTATCTAAATACACAAGATAAAACTACCAAGATACTACAAGATATTTGATATAAAGAAAACTCTGATAAAAATCCATGAAAATATGAAAAGGTGATTAGGGACAACCAGCAGGATGGCCCTCCTGTAGACTAACTCACAATAAAGAATGTCACATGATTTTTCTTACAAAGTTGTTGCTATCACACAAGAACCAAACATTTTGAGACTTAGGCTCTGGTGTATGAAACATAGCTAGAGAGGTGTAGATTGTATATACCAAGTCTAGGGATGAATAATTGAAAACTCAGGATAAGGCAGGGAATTGACTGTGACAAGTGCCAAAAATGGGATGTAACAAAGTGGGAAATTCTAAATGACTGCAACCTACTGAAAGCAATTCACAACTTGAGGAGGAGTATTTTTGCACACTGGATCTCCCTGCTATTGGTATGAGCTGCATAAAGTCTCTGGGCTAGAAAACTTAATATCTACAAAAGATAGGTAGAAATGTTAAAATGAACATTGCATGATGTTTATAGAAGCAGATTCCCAGAGTTTTTCTGGAAGTAAACAAGTATCTACAATATTGGTTCTTCTTTTCTGCAAGACAAAAAAATGCTACCATCCTTTTGAATGGCTCCATGGAGACTCAGGTTGTTCTTTTAACAATGCCTGAAGTATAGCATGATAGAAATTTGATTTTTGCACTGGGTACAACTTGTAAAGTCCACAATAAAAGTACATTTTGCATATAGCAATCATCCTGGACCAATCCTTGACATTTTTCTTGGTGAATTGAGGCTGAAAATAATTCACAAGGCACTTCTAATGCCTAGTAACACTATCCCAAAGAAATACACAGGGGTCCTATATATACAAAGCTCTGAGACCCCACACCTTTCCTGCTCTATGTAAAATGCCCTTTGATTGTGGACTTTTCAAGATTTTTTTGTCTTGCAGAAAAGAAGGACCAATATTGTAGATACTTGTTTACTTCCAGAAAAACTCTGGGAATCTGCTTCTACAAACATCATGCAATGTTCATTTTAACATTTCTACCTATCTTTTGTAGATATTAAGTTTTCTAGCCCAGAGACTTTATGCAGCTCATACCAATAGCAGGGAGATCCAGTGTGCAAAAATACTCCTCCTCAAGTTGTGAATTGCTTTCAGTAGGTTGCAGTCATTTAGAATTTCCCACTTTGTTACATCCCATTTTTGGCACTTGTCACAATCAATTCCCTGCCTTATCCTGAGTTTTCAATTATTCATCCCTAGACTTGGTATATACAATCTACACCTCTCTAGCTATGTTTCATACACCAGAGCCTAAGTCTCAAAATGTTTGGTTCTTGTGTGATAGCAACAACTTTGTAAGAAAAATCATGTGACATTCTTTATTGTGAGTTAGTGTACATGGTCCTTGTCATTGAACAGCTGGTCCTCCTCCTCACCGTCATCTCCCTGTTCCACTGGACTGTTATCTTCATTCATCTGAATTGTCTGGGTAGGAAGTTTGCATCGTGGAAGATGAGGGAAAGCGTGTCGCATGTAGGTGGCAAGGGTGGCCAATGTAGGTGGCAAGGGTGGCCAATGTATCTTCCTCATCCAGGGGAGTGTCGTCCTCCAAAAGCTTGCCAATGAGAGAGAGCAAGTAAGGAAGGTAATGGTCATGTTCTTCTGCATTGTGGAAGACCATGCCAATTAACCCCTCCTTCCCATCCAGCACCATGAGATCAAAGACTGCATTAGCAGCCTGATGCATTTGGGTGTCTTGACAATAGCAAATGGTGTCAACAATGGCCTAGAGTGAGTGAAGGATCCACTCATCGTGGACCATGTTTCCAATGAGATTGACAATTTCTAAGATAAAAGACAGATTTTAATAAGATAAAATAGACCAAACAACTGAAAGACTTACTATTGGGTGACAGATGGGTAGCGCAACAACCCAACTGGTTGTGCACCTGACCCCGAGGAATAGGGTTGAGGTTGTACTCACAGTCAGGGAAATGCAACTTTTTGCAAGGCAGACAGGGCGAACCCCAACCTAGAAAAACACATTTTGCCTCCTTTGAGTTCTTGCCAATTGTGCATTGCATGCTTAGTTCAGGAATCTATCAGAAAATAAAATTTAGAAGAAAAACTTGAATAAATAAGAAAAATGACCTTACAACAACATGATCTCAGAGAAGTTCCTCTGCCAGAGCCATTTCACTAAAATTAGCGAAACATTGGTGAGGAGGGACTATACAAATTATAAGTTCAATAGAATGTTAAGAAACATGGAACTTATGGAGGAAGAAAAGAGAAGATAAAAGAAGAAAGACTTACAAGTCTTATGAGGATGATGTCACTTTGGTTTCAACACAGGAGGAGGTGGAGAAGCAATGTCTTGCTCCAATTCACCTTCCTCCTCAGCCTTGGTGTCATCCACCTGTTTGTGCTTGTTGGTTTTTTGAGGTGCACTCATTGATGTGAACTGGCGTAGTAGATACTGGCAGTGAAAATGTGACTGGAAACAGTGCTGCAGACCTAGTTGAGTTGGCAGGAGATATCAGGGTATAAGCCTGATTCAGGGACTTATGGTGTTCCTGAAAAAGAAAAGAAAATGGCTATGAGAAAAAGAAAAAGTCAGAGAAAAATTGGAAAATGACTTACAGGAGGAGGTAAATGGTCCTCTTTGATGACCATGGCTGCCAGCATGACATCTTCGACAGTGGCTTCCACAGGAGGGGCAGCAGCGGCAATCTCCATGGGATCCTCAATAGACAGAAGACTGTCTTCTTTGGTGACCTCAGCAGGGCAGCCTCAGCCATCACCACCTCAGTGGGAGGGTCATCTGGGACAGAGAGGGTCGCGAGGAACACCTCAGTAAAACATTCATCCTAGAACATATGAATTAGAATGAGAAATGATAAAAACACTGGACAATAGGTACTTCAGGGTAGTCACCACCATTATGTGGCCCTTTGAGCATCCAGACTTCCCAGTCAGGATCAACAGAGTCTGTGTCAACCCTGAGTTGGGCGTTGAACAGAGTTCTGCAAAGTCGGACATCGCACTCGGTCTCTGGTACACCATCAATGGTGACACAGATGTACTCAAGCTAGAAAATAAATGTTTTAGCTATATAGAAAGACAAGAAAAAGAGAAAAACTTACGAGATGAGGTTGAGCCACATTGAGAAGTTCAACAATGATGTCGGACTCGAGCTTGGCATAACCTGGCTCAGAGAATAAAGTGCGCAACATGTCGAAGGTGGCCAGTGAACCGATGAAATTGAACTTAGAGATGGACATATTGAAGTGACAAAGGAAGGGACTTAGGGATTGAAGGCAGAAAGGAATGGACAGAAAAGATGGTCTTATATATGTAAAAGATATATATTGATACCATGTCTTTGTGGAAAATACTGTGTCGATTTGTTGTGGTTGCCTGAGGATCCTGCAACTTATGAAAAGTTTATTGGGTGTTTGTGCTAAAAATAGCTTTTCGGGGTTCCTTGTTTTGACAGGCGTGAGAGATGACATAGAAACAGAGAAGCATCAGTTTGGCGGACATTGACAGGTTCAGAAAATGTCAAAGACATGTCAGTTAACCCTGATGAGCCTTGGTGATCTGTTGCTAGAATAGAAAACTGTGTGAGCCATAAGACAAAGTCCAAGAGATAATACATCCTCAGAGGGATCTTGCAATGACTGGGGATGGTCAGTATTAAAGTGAGAGGGAGATGATACAGGTGAAATGTATTCAACCATATAAAATCCGATTTTTGTGATGTTACCATTAAAATGGTCTTCTCTGTACATACACTATATAGAGTTGCAATGATATAAAAGTCTTTGAACATACCTGGTTCAGTAGACTAAATGTGCACCTGAACATAGGACTAAGGCCTTGGAGCTGGCAGCAGTATGTGCCATGACATCATACTTGGAGCCTATTTAGGGTTCATCCACCATGAAATAGAGTACAAAGAAGCTCTAGAGTAAACCACCCAACACAGGGACAAGATTGCATTACTACCAAGGGTTTAGAAACATGTAATGGATTTTTAAAATGGAAACTCAGACTTTTATCTTGCAATAAGATTACCAAGACTTCTAGAGGATAAACTGCATGTGGACATTGTGAAATAATGTTCTACTACTAGAAAGACTATACTCCGACTAGGTAGTATATGTATGAGGACCAAGTGTGGCCTGCAGCCATGTAAAGTGTCAAGTATGGCAATTCCCACATACACATCAAAGAGTGATGCATAGCATTGTCCAAGATGCATGAAATGTGCACCCGGAAACTGCATGTGGACTGATCCTCCTTGTTAGCTGGAATGACCATGTCCACCATGGACTTCTCTGGGATCTGGTTGGGGTCAGTGTATCGTTTATTGGTGTAAACAGTGGTCTTGTTCGCAGGGATCAGATTGGTGGCATCGTTCTTGGTGGGGGGTGGTTGATACCCAGTCTGGGCCAGAGTATTGGTCTTTGCAGAAGCCCTGGCTGCCCGAGGACAAGGATGAGTGTCCATTGGGGTGCTTTGCCAGCAGCAGCTGCAGCTGCCTTCAGCTGAGTCTTCACTGATGGGAGGAGGTTAATGGGGACTGATAGATCCTGCTTGTGAGTCTTCTTTGAAGTCAACTTTTTGGGCAGGGGATTGGAGGTAATCCTTGTTTGCATGTTTTGCACTTTCACATTCATCCCCATGCAAAGCATATCAATGGGAGTTACAGTGATTGATCCCACCCCCCCA